AATAGAGCCAGAATAAGGAATGCCATACCTCGTTGAGCTCGTAATTAAATTCCCAATCGATTGGCATTTAAATTTTAAAACTTTATTTTTTGAACATTTTTCGATAAAAAAGATGATGTAACCCCTTGTAAAAAATGCAAAAATTGGTCAAAAAAATTATTTTCCAGAAAGTTATGCGGATCGTTAGCCTAGGTTGTTAGCTGTTCAAAACAGTCGGTCTTTTTGTTGTGCGCCTCGATTTGACTAAATTACGACTGAAAAACGGCTCAAAATAAACGATTTTTTCGTCCAAAAAATGCTACTCCCTATTTTTGCCCAAAAAATATCCGTTTTTTCGCCGACAAATTGCGAAATAGAGCCAGAATAAGGAATGCCATACCTCGTTGAGCTCGTAATTAAATTCCCAATCGATTGGCATTTAAATTTTAAAACTTTATTTTTTGAACATTTTTCGATAAAAAAGATGATGTAACCCCTTGTAAAAAATGCAAAAATTGGTCAAAAAAATTATTTTCCAGAAAGTTATGCGGATCGTTAGCCTAGGTTGTTAGCTGTTCAAAACAGTCGGTCTTTTTGTTGTGCGCCTCGATTTGACTAAATTACGACTGAAAAACGGCTCAAAATAAACGATTTTTTCGTCCAAAAAATGCTACTCCCTATTTTTGCCCAAAAAATATCCGTTTTTTCGCCGACAAATTGCGAAATAGAGCCAGAATAAGGAATGCCATACCTCGTTGAGCTCGTAATTAAATTCCCAATCGATTGGCATTTAAATTTTAAAACTTTATTTTTTGAACATTTTTCGATAAAAAAGATGATGTAACCCCTTGTAAAAAATGCAAAAATTGGTCAAAAAAATTATTTTCCAGAAAGTTATGTGGATCGTTAGCCTAGGTTGTTAGCTGTTCAAAACAGTCGGTCTTTTTGTTGTGCGCCTCGATTTGACTAAATTACGACTGAAAAACGGCTCAAAATAAACGATTTTTTCGTCCAAAAAATGCTACTCCCTATTTTTGCCCAAAAATTATCCCTTTTTTCGCCGACAAATTGCGAAATGGAGCCGGAATAAGGAATGTCATACCTCGTTGAGCTCGTAATAAAATTCCCAATCGATTGGCATTTAAACCTTAAAACTTTATTTTTTGAACATTTTTCGATAAAAAAGATTTTTATAAAAAATGCGAAAATTGGTCAAAAAAATTATTTTCCAGAAAGTTATGCGGATCGTTAGCTTAGGTTGTTAGCTGTTCAAAACAGTCGGTCTTTTTGTTGTGCGCCTAGATTTGACCAAGTTACGATTGAAAAACCGTCAAAAAAGGGGTGTTTTTGTCTGAACTCCTACTACCTATTTTCAACCAAAAAAGAGGTAGTTTGGCAATCATCTTGCGAATTAAAGTCGGAATAAAGAATGCCATACCTCGTCGAGCTCGCAATTAAATTTCCAATCGACTGACATTCAAATCTGGAAACATTAAATTTTGACTAATTTTCGGAAAAAACATGATGCATGTTTGAAAAGTGGTGGGGATCAAACCCGAAAGAGCAGTGAAACAGGCAAGCCTTAGTTGATCCAAACTCTGTGATCTAGTACCTGAACTTATGTATAGAACAGAGAATTATTGTTAAATCTAATGCTAGCAAAACCTTAGGATTCAGGATCACCCCAAAATTTCTCTCTGTGGCGGACAGACACTTTCAAAGCACCTGCAGACGGCCAAAAGGGGATTCCCAGCGGAGAAGAGGGGTCCAGAGATTCTCGCCGGGATGCCAAACACAAAACACAAAACGGAAATCGGAAAAAAGGCAGTGAAACAAAAGGGTAGCGTTGGAGCAGCCGAGGGAATCTCGCAGGACTAAGCGGTTGGGAGGGGCGGGAAATGGGGGCGGGCCATTTGTTCCAAGAAAAACATCCGAGGGACGGTGGTGTCGGGCAGATAAACAAAGGTTCCTCGTGTCCGGGCTACAGAGACAAAGACCAAACAAGAGCGAAACGCATTTCAATACTTCCGGTATTGCGACTACCGAATATTACCTCTAAACTAGTGTTATTAGTGCTGAACTGTTGGAGGGGGAAAATAAAAAAATTTTCACTAGATAACCGCACATGTCCCCTAACATTTTGCAGTCAAAAATATAAACCCGTTTCTTGCACTACTCAGTATAAGCTGAGATATTCCGCAGTTCGTGACATCTTCTTGCCCAGGAAACCTGTTCGGCCTCCAACGTCCCATCAATTGAAGGGAAATATTGAAATGGCCTAGTATCGATGACCAGAAACAAGGGCACAGGGCGCAGGGCGCAGTATGCGGATTGGAGGATACAGAATACCCGTTCTTGGCCGCCCTCGCATCCTTCATCTTCCTTTGTTTCGCCTGTCGTTGGCGGCAAGGGGTTTTAAATTTAAGCAGACTTTGATGCGATCGCAGCCACACGATTTCCGCTAAATGCCAGCTGGGAAATGGGAAATGGAAAATGGAAGCAAGGAGGGTTCCCCGTTTCAGCCAGCGATTCCCCCTTTCAGGCAATATCCTGACCATGATGCTGCCAATTGCCAATCGCCATGCAAACAAAGGCAACAAAATCTAGTTAATTGGGTAAAATGCTCGGCGGAAATTGAAAGCAAAAGCATAGCAGCAAACATGGGCGGAGAAATGGGGGTCAAAGGGCGGGCAAAATGCAATAAATATCTAAAATATCTAAAATTTCGCCTTTTGCCGGGCCATTATTTATCGATTTATGCAAATTCACAGCGAACATTTTATCAATAAACAATAATAAATTAAAATCAACAATCACTGGACTAAACATTCGCATCGTTGTCGCTGTCCCTTTCCCCCAACACACTCTCTCTTTCTATCCTTGTTTTGTGTGTGTGTGGGGTGTGTGGACTGTCCAAATTGAAAACGAAATTTATAAATGCAAATTGTCAACGCCACCGAAAGCCAGCAGCAACAGCCAAAAATGCATAGCATTTTTCCACACACATATATCTGGATAAGTACTTATGCTGTATGTAGCTACGTATGTACATATATTCCGTGGACTATATGGACAAATTTACGCCAGCAAAAATGTTTGTTGTTCGCAATCAAAAATGAAAACGGCGAGCAGGGAAAAAGTGCAGAAAGATGGACCCGACAGAGCGGAGAATGCCAGGTCAGGTTCTTTTCGGTAGTAGCTTGCATCCTATGCATACACCGAGTGAGTACCGAGTACCGAATACCGGGTAAATCCCCTGCCCGGTGGGAAATTCGATTGGCAGATAAAAATGTTTGCCCCGAGGGGCCAAATAATTACTATGCCCCAGGGTGTGTGCACATTGTTTCGAAGCGCCGGCAGCTGCTTCGCCTGCGGGCATGCACACACTGGTAAACTGGTAAACTGGCAACCTGGTTGGCGGGAGTTTGCGGAGGACTGGTCAGAGAAAAACGAGGTTTTCGCATATTTTAATTTGAATTTTAATTGCTGCCGTGGTGGATGGATTAACAATGCAATTAGCATTATTCTGAAGAATAGTAATGGAAAGGGGCCGACAAAACTACTGATATTTGAATATTATATGTAACTTTTACACTGTTATCCATAAATACACGCAAAGCTACCTACTCAAAACTAAGAAGCAACGCAGAATTTATGGAATTCGGAAGTGCAGTTTTGGTTTCCCATTTAATTTTAATGGATAGTACTAGAAATTCATAAAGGTATCCCACGACTGAATCGGGATATAATAACTCAAGTTATGGAATCTGCAGTTTTGTGTTCGCATTCTGGACCCCATAGGAATTACGGAACAAACGAACTTAAAAATGTATTACAATTTCGACCCTTGCCTAAAAGAAAACTTTTGGTATCGAATATTAGAGAATTTAGCCACAAACTCAGAGGGGTATCCCACTTCAAGATCGGGCTCCAAAAACTCATGTTATGGATTATAGAAGTGCAGTTTTCGAAATATGGAAAAACCAAACATGAAACAATTTTTGGCCCACTTTAAAAGGAACATTTTAAATCCATATAAATGACCCTGTCCAAATTTCTTTTTATTCCTTCTATAAATGTTCATTCGATAAGCATAGGTCTGAAATTCAGGGAAGCATTCACCTGGCTTTACTTTACAATTATACCGAAAAGACTTTAGAGTTTTGCATTCGCAAGCTTTAATTAACAAATAAAACTCTGTTCAGGTCGATTCGTTTTCTCACCGGGCACTGCACTGAGCAAACGGGACCTTTCGTTTTTGGTCAGCTCTTGGACTCCGTCTCTGCCTGCCACGGCCCCTAGCCGCATCCTGCCTCATCCCGCCGCTCACCTGTCACGCCCCCGCGCCCCCGCATCCCCTGGAGCGTGACCACCTCTGACCGGAGCTATTTTTGCATACTTTTGTGCGACGCGCAAACAATTTGCATTTTCCATTTTCCATTTCAGCGTCAAATGAAATGTGCCCGACTGGCCGGGAGTTCCGCTCCACTCCGCTCCGGTCCGGCCCCACATCCGGATCCCCCCTTTTCCTGGGAGTGGGAGTGGCAGTGGGCGACTCTCGGCCAAAACCAGGAGCTGCACCGATGATTTATTGCACTTTTGACGTTATTGATATTTTATTTGTTTGCGATGAAGTCATTTAGTGCAGGCCGCACGCGAGGAAACTCAAGGGGTTTCCCGGAATTCTTGGCGGTGGTTGGAGGGGAGGGGAAGGGGAAGGGGCTACCTCGCAGGACGATGATTTATACCGACATCGGCGGAGCAAGAAGCCAGTTGGAGGAAGGAAGTTGTTTCGCCTCTCCGACTTATTTATGTTGAGCCTTACAAGGGATAATCCAAAATAAGAATCATGCGGAAAGCCGCAAGGGCAGAACTTAAGTTGGATACACAATATGAATGTTATAGAAAATTAATTAGAAAACTGTATATGCTATTAAATCATGTCTCAAAGCAAGTATATCTATGTACAATTTTAAATTTCAAGCAGGCTGGGATTTTTATTTTGGCTTTTGGATGTGTGTTTAATCATAACATTTTGTCGTTCAAAGTAGACTGTATCTTGAAAATATACACATTTTTTGTACTTTTTAAGCAACCGAAAAAACAAAACCTTCAACAGAACGAGCAAAAAGTGAAGGTAAGTGAGAGCCTTTCTTCTGAATGAATCTAAGCCGCCATAAACACTCAACACCTTGTGATTGCTGCAAGGGCATTCAACAAATTGTGTTTTATGAAAATATCAACAAAACGTCGATCTAGAAAATGCTTTATTTCGAGGAAGTCCTGTCCCAACATAACCATTCATTCCGTTCAATTCTCATCTTGGCAAGGAAACTACGTTATCACAGCACGTCTGTTTTGAACCTGCAATTAACGTCTTGAGCGTGGCGTTGACCATGTGAATGGGGAGGCTCGGACTCTCAAGGTGACTGGCTCAGGGCGCCTTTTAGAAAATATTTAAATACTTTTCCTGTCGACACCAGGGGAATCCCACCCCGCCCCTTACCCCCTTCCACGCTTCGAGTCTTAACTAACGCATAATTTAACTGAAAGCCAGCTTCAAGTTGGGGCACAAAGAGCTCCAAGGACTCGGAGCCCGAGACCCGGGCCTCTTCTGGTTCTAGAACTGTTAAATGGCAGCCGGGGTGTGGCAAAAGGAGAAGGGGTTTCAATCCGACACGACTTGAGACAAGTGCCCCACAGTCCCTCCCGCTTTTTTCCCCTTTCTTTCCACTCGTCACTTGCCACTCCCCCTCCCCACTTTCCACTTTCCACTTTCTACTTTCTACTTAGGTGTCGTGCAGCTGCTCTCGAGATATATTCATGCATATATATAAGTAGTGTGTATATGGCATATATATGCAGATCCGAATTGTTTGTGAGTTATTTTCACTGGCAGCTATTTGGCAAATGCCGCACGCAGACGCTCGACACTCGACACTCTCGGTGGAAAAGTGAAAAGGAGAGGGCCTTTTTCGGGGCACTTTCCGGCCAAGAGCTCGGCACAAATGCATTTTATTATTAAGCTGGCTCTATCTCTGTTTAGGTTTTCATTTAAATTATATTGCACCCCTCGAAGAGCATTTTTCACCTGGAAAATGGGAAATGGCAGGGTGAAAGGGGCGCGGGACTCCAGATAAAAGGCCATTGCTATTCCGGGAAAATCGGACGACGAGAGCCTTATACGACCGCAGCTACAGCGAAAAGCAATTAAAGCAAGACAAGCTCTTGGTTTGGCATGGGTTAAAGCCGGTCGCGGGGGGTTAAGGGGCCCGATTCGACCCAGTTTGATTGGCAATTGAGGCGAGTGACAAGTGGCAGAGCGACCGAAAAAGCGAGTGAATGGAAAGTCTTTCAATAAATTCCAGTTTTTGCTATCGCCATCTTTTTTCCGGTCACGCTTTTCCCTTTTTTAGTTTTTGAGGGGTTGGGGTGCTTCCCCTCACTTGACAACAATTTATGAGACCGCCATTGCCATCCAACTAATTGAAAAACTAAGCCTGCCAGTTAAGCCAAACTAAACTTTTCCCTCGAGCTCTCTAACCCGAAAAACACACACTAGTTTGCAAAGGGGTTGAGGGGGAGAAAGGGTAACGGGCGGAGGAAACTGTGGCACATGCAAACAAAACCCCAAAATGTTGCACTTAATTGCAACTATTGGAAACTTGGTCCTAATCCGACTCCTGCAGCCAAATTGGTTTATTTTCTTGCCAAATTCTTGGGACACGTCCTCAGTTTTGGGGGTTGAGCAAATAAAGCACTAGTCCTGGGGAGGAGTCCCAAGGTTCCTGGCCACACACACACTGACAGTCATCCCGAACCAGCAGTCGCAACAATTCTGCCAACTTATGCATATCATGCAACTTTGTTTTGGTCCTTGCGCTTCGGGCTCACCCATCTCGCCAACGCCTGATTCGGAAAAATAGTGCTTTACTGACTGAGCAATTATGAAAATTGACATTCTATCGGCCCATAATTCGGTTTAGTAGAAGCCGATTATATAATGCCCAGTCAAATCGGGCTTTGAAAGCCTCTGCAATCAAAATAGCACACTCTTTAGCCCCATCCCTAGTAAACTCTGATTGGCTTTAATTAACTTCTTTGTTTGGTTCCTAAATAAGAGTCCCACACTTTTATTCATGAATTATATATGGAATTAGATGGGGTACATTGCAGATGATTGATATGTAACCAATTATCACGTCAGTAATATCCTCCAGCCTAAAAAGCTTTGAAAACTTGCCCATGGTTGATCATTTTCGAACATGCTGCGTATGCGTGATATATTACTTATGACTTTTTTGAATATTTCTTTATGCCTAACCAGTTGGTATTCCTTTTCATTCCTAGACTTTTACAGCAATGACACAGCTCGGGCTCCCAGGCCGCAAGTCCAGGGCCAAGCCCAAAATCTTCCAACCAGAGTGTAAACCGAATTGGTGGGGAATCGAAAAGTGGTTCTCAGTTCCGAAAAAAGAAACTTGTTTCAAAAAAACAAAGGCGCTTATCCAAAAAGCAGCCTAATCATTCTGGACAATGTGGCTCATCCAGTAGGCAAGCTATTCACTTCCAAAAGTGGCTCTTCCTTGCCAAAAACTTCTATATCTTCGCAATCCGAAAGAAGTAACTCATTTCCAGATCAATCCGGAAAATGCCCATATTGCAACAAGGCCGCTTTTCCGTCCGGAAGTTGCAAGTCAAATCCAGAGCACATTTATTTTAGGCCATCAGACTTTCTTTCAGGAAAATTGCACGTCGTCAAAGAGCCAACAGTTTCACTTGACAATGGTCACTCATCCAATGAGGAAAGATTACCGTCCAAAACCGAGAGATCCGATTGTTCCGAGTTATCGTCCTTAACCATAGTCCCAAGTTCCCCAACCAAGGAGTATTACTCAGCAAGGGAAAGTACTTCTGAGTCCAAAAGAACTCTGAGAAATGAAACCTCAGCGAGATCTTGCAGCAAGTCGTCAGAAGGGGGAAGTACATCTGACTCCGAAAAAACTCTGAGGAATGAAACATCAGCAAGATCGCTCAGCAAATCGACAAAGGGGCTCTACTCCGCAATGGAAAACAGTGCTGAGTCAGAAAAAACTCTGAGGATCGAATCCTCAGCAAGATCGCATAGAAAGTCGTCAGCAAGGAAAAATACTTCAGAGTCCGAAAACGCTCTAAGGAACAAAACCTCAACAAGATCGCGCACCAAATCGTCAAATGGGCTTTACTCCAAAAGCGAAGATTACGTGGATCTGAACGACCTTCTGGACGAGTCTAAGAACACTCGGTTCTACCGCGAAATGGCGGGCATCTACTTCACCAAGCGCAAAGCCGTCGAGTTCAAAGAGCGCCGTGATAGGAGATTTCTCGACCTTACCAAAAAGAGGTAGATGTATGGGGACACTGGTCTCTCCCTTTCGATTATTTGACAGTTTGTCGCAATTAATAAAGTTTGTCGCGTCGAATGGTGGAGGGCAAAAAATGTACAGTGCTCAGCTAGAAAAAGTTCATGTAAGCAAAATTCAAATGTGGTATAGACTATAACATACCCACAGCTGCGATTTATATGGTACAGGATTTATTAAATAATTTTCGGCTTCTCAGTTGCCTGTTTTTGATTGTGTGGGTTTAGTGGAGGAAGTTCCAGGGGAGTATCAAGGGTTACCTTATCCTAGGGCATTCCATCACACATCACACACCACACACACCCTGGAAACAGGAGGTACGGAAATACCAGTCTGTTTACAGTTTTCGCAATTTAAACGAAAATCGCTGACGCAGCGTGTGTGACAGCCCAGCCGCAGACCCCCGCTGCCCCCTGCGGACGTCGAGTGTCTTTGCATAATTTTTAGACAACCGCACAAGGGTGACTTTAATGTCATCAGCGGTTTTGTCCGCTCTCCCTGCCCCACCCCTCCCACTCCCCTTGAAGGACCCCCAACGACTTCCGACAGCTGTCAGCGGATTTAATGTGCAGTTTTAATCAAATTTACATCAGGCTAGTTAGGCGACGAGCAGGACGAGCGTTGCGCATTGACTTGTCCCGCGTTGTTTGCGATTTTACCACTTTGCCACCTCCCCGAATATATCGCAGTTTGAGCAAACTTAAATGTTCCCTGGATCTTCCTTTTTGGAATAACACCCACACAACTTGTATCTTTTATTGCGAAAACATGAAATCTGTTAGGAACTATAGGAACACTTTTTGGACAGTGCTTAAGTATCTGAAAGGAAGCAATAAAATAAAATTCCTTGGTTTTCTACTGCTTCCCTTTGTTCTTGATTCCCTGAAAAAATCATGGGATCACAGGTCAGTACTTAAAAGCATTTCGGATCGATTTTACGAGATAAAAAGGCATATAAATTACCCAGCTTTGCTGAAGGTTGAAAAGTGAGTGAGCTTTCTCTACGAAGTATTTTCCAAATGAATTTACGGTAAATTTGCTGTTTTGTTGCCTGCAACTTCGGCAATTAAAAGCGCATTTGGTCGATTTTTAGGGAGAAGGGTGAGGGGTAAGGGGTGGAGAAAGTGGCCGGGACAGGTGAGAAAAGAAGCAGAAAGGTAAGAAAAAAGGAAGTGCAAAGTGCATTGGTTACGATGCCACTAACACTTCAGACTTTGTGGCGCGCAAAGACTTGGCAATTTCTCCATCTTTTCCCTTTCTCCCACTTTCCTCGTGTGAGAAGAGGTGTTTGGAGCAAAGTTTTCGTCGACATCTTAATTTCTCACTTGTAAATTGAGCTGCGCCAGCAACCGCAAATTAGACCCCAAAGTATACGTACTTGTGGATGCCAAATATTCCCCGGAGTTCTGCTGCGGTTCCCCCGCTTTCTTCACTCTGCTTTCTCCACCCCTCTCCGCACACAACCCTAGCCACACGCACACGCATTGCCACACAGACATTCATGCGTAAAACCAACATGAACACACACTAACGAAGGGGGAAAGGTGAAAGTCAAGGGGACGGGAGACAAAGCGCGCTTGGGAGTGTTGCAAACTTTGAGTGAAGAGCCCGAAGGGGTGAGGCGGGGTGGAAAGGGCCCGAAGAGGCGCCACAGAGGGGGTTAAACTTACTGGCAAACAGCCCCTTGGCGAATCTGATGAAAGTGCGTGGGAATGTGGCAGGAGAAAGGCGGGGAATTGTCGGGTTCGATAGATTCCTTTATCGACTCATTCGCATGGCAACAGTTTGCCAAATTGAATTCGAAATTAATTAGCCAAAGTATGAGCAGGTGTGGGTGTTACCTCAACTACATCTGATGACATACGCCATGAAGTTAAGTTCACTACACCTGGAGAAAAGGACCTCTATCACTGTGAGCTATCTCAATCGGGATTGCAGTTGCATTTATCGATCGAGCTCTTATGTTGAGGCTTCCATTAGCCCAAATACAGTGGAGCCTCTGCATAGGCGTATGAATGCGTAGCCCCCTGTTACCCCACTTCTGAGCTCTTTGGAGCCCTCAGTTATCCCCTAAACAAAGATGCATTCAATCTGTCGGCTGCTGCATTTGCTGCAATTTCCCCATTGGCCCCATGTCTGCGCTTTCACTGCAGCCCTTTCAAATCTCCGCCACCCCCACTTTCTCCACCCCCTTTCTCCGGTCTCCTCCCGATTCGGCGCGCTTTTCACACCGCACCACGTAGCCAAACATTTGCAAATGAGCGTTGAAGCGTGGGACACCAACAGCCGCAGACGCCTCAGGTGAAAACTCCACCTGTCGCCCGCCTTTCCCTGCTTTTCCACTCCCCAGGGAAGGGGTTGGGAAGGAGTTGGGAAGGGGTTGGCAATGGGTGGGTGGGGAAAACGCGTGCACAATTAGAGATAGTTGCGGCAAGGGCTGTGGCAGCTTTTCCGGGACCAAAATTGGAATATTTAATTAAATTTGACAAAGTGCAGCCACTTGTCATTCTTTTCTTTGAATTTGATGCTAGAAATTTTCCAAGAATTTACATGGAGAAAAGTGGGTAACTTTTAAAGCAACAGCACGAAACAACACGAAACATCTTAGCAACTATGGACGATTTCTCCCTGTACCTTAAGTTGTAAGCTTTTGGCTGCAGTGTACAGTAAACAACACGAAGCATTTCTTCGTCATTTCGCACTTTTGCAATGTAATGATCTAAGGATGATATATTCCTCAAATCTAAAGCGTGTTTAATAAAACAACGGTTCGAGGGATTTCCCACTTGGTCAACCACTTGACACCCCTCCGAACTTATCCCATCCCAAAAAGGGGGTCCAATAATTTGGCCAATGACGTGCAATTATTTGCCAGCCAACTTTGCAGAGCCCTTAACCCTTGGTCAACCCGAGACCCCTGCCCCTGCCCCTTTCCTCCCTTTTTTGGCAATAGTTCGCGTGGCACGTACAAAGTTTGTCTGCTCCTTGCGAATCCCCGAATGTGAGAAATGCCGGAGGAGTGCAAAACGGCAGCGGGGAAGTCGCGAATGATTCATGGCCGTTGCAATTTAGCTGCCAACTTGCGAAAAGTACCGGAAACGCATTCATTTTCCGCATTTTTCACATCAATAATGGACTGCGAAGGGGCGGAAGCGGGACGACGGGGGCGTGGTCGGAACTTGGACTTGAAGAGCTGCAGTCCTAATTAAGTTTGCAACATTTATGACTGGTTGGCATTCGCCGTGGGAACGGGTTAAGTGTTAATTTTGCCCCGGGCAGGATTTAATAGTATGTGTGCTAGGAATTGCAGGTATATTTCATAATACCCCCTGAAGGCATACGACCAGTGTTTGGTTTGAATTATTTCCAGCACTTTTGGGGGATTTCCCAAAAAGGCAGAGAAGGGGAGCCCACTAAGACCCCGTCCATTTCATTTCACGCTTCAACTACCATCAAAATGGCCTCCAAAAGAAGCAAGGACGAATGCCGGGGATGAGCTCCTTGTTTTCCAGTATTTCTACGTTTTTTCCCCAGCCCCGAGTTGCACTCGTCTGTGAAATGATGACAGTTGCGGTTTCATTTTTTCGCTGTCCGTTGACCGGACTTTTTTAAATTCGAGCCAGAGGAAGGCAGTAGCCAATTTACAGATGTAGTACGGCCAACATTATTTTGTTTTCCACTGAGTTTCAATTTGTCAAGAACCTGTTTTGTGTGAACAGTAAGAGATCTGTTAAGTCACTATCCTATGGATAGTATCCATAAATACTCATTAGATTTAGAAATCGAGGGTATCTTGAAGTTTTTACTCGGAATCTCTGAAAACCGGTGATTCATTTCAGACGCTCTTGATGTACGAGGATGACCAGGCCAGTTCTCAAAGGGCAGGCAAAGGTCTAAGAAGACGGCGGCTTCGGGTGGCAAATCAATTTGCTTATCTCGTCGCCACGCTCTCCACTGAGCACAGCCACTGCAGCTGTCGCACCCTCCGTTCTCCGGCTGAGTTCCCATTTCTCCCGGCTTCTCGCCTTTTCTCCGGCTGCTTCAGCTCCTCCTCCTCCTTCAATCCCTTTGTCTTTGTCTCCGGCGATAAGGGACGCGTTCGAGTGACCCTTCAGCCGCTTTAGCTTCTGCTCCGGATTCGGATTGTGTTGCCCTCTGTATTCCACAGTTTCGGTTGCTATAGCTTTGGCTTCTGCTTCTGTAGCTGCTGCTGTCCGATAAGCGCAATATGGTGCGACTGCACTGAGAGAAAAGCGTGCTAGCTCAAACTTAAGTCTGTAGTGCAAAATTATAAGATACTACGTGGGGGGGAATTCGGGATTTTAAATATGTGAATCCGACTTTGTTCCGTTTGGTTTCAAACTTGAAAAGGACCTAGTCAATATTTATACATCATCTTTACCAATACCTTACCAATAACCAATCATCTATATATCGAACAATCAACAACAACAAAATCGAGTAAAATAGTTAAAGCTACATTTTCTTCGGGATTACTTATCCCCTTGCTTTCACAGTGCACCAGGGTGACCCCAGTCCGCGTTCATATTTCAGGCTTGTGTTTATGCAGCTTAACACTTTGGGCCCCCGCCGCCTTAACCCGCCTTTAGTTACCCGGAGTTGAAAAGGGAATCCGTTAAGCGGCTTACGCCGGGCGGCAGTCCGTCCGTGGCAGAGACTCCGCTCCCGACTTTGCAAAGTTTATTAAACATAATTATAAAATATCAAAAAAATGGTAGCGAGGGACTAGGCCAGCCGGGCGAGCAGAGTGGCCATTAGCAGGCTCGCGGACGTCCAGGTGAGATGCAGGGAGGCGGAGGATCCGCCGGTCAGGGGCAGGGCCTGCCTTTGCTGCCGCTTGGCCCGGTCGATGTGGGGCTGGCAGGAGGACTCCCGCCGCACGTAGCGGAACATGGACTCCACGATGTTGCTCGGCGTGATCGTCGCGCACTTCTCCAGCAGCTCCACCGTGCAGGTTTCGAAGGCGTAGAGGTCGACGCACTCCTTGGGGCCCAGCACCAGCTGGGGCAGGTTCCACTCGGGACTCAGGTCCTTGGGCAGGTAGCCCGCGAAGGAGGAGTTCAGGCACTTGGCGATGCCGTCGCGACTGCCCTGCAGGCACTCGGGCCCCTGCTCCGCGATGAAGAGGGCGATCTGGTCGCCGTTCTTGTAGCAGATGAACTCCAGCAGCTTGTCCCCGATCCGCTGCATCACCGCGTTGTGGGCCTTCTCGTCCGGCGTCAGGCAGGGCAGGAGGGCCTCGTTGAAGTTCTGCAGACAGGTCTTGGCCTGCGGCATGCGCAGGCAGTACTTCTCGAAGACCACGTCCAGGTCGCCCTTGGGACTGGCCTCCGCGATCTCGGCCTGGATCTCGGTCATGTTGGCCAGGCCGGAGAGGCACTCCCCGAGAGTCATGGCCGCATCCTGGACGGACTGGCTCAGGGCAGAGGCATTCACCGATCCCTTGGGCAGGTGGTCGTTGGCCTTCTGGCACTTCGACTGCAGCAACTTCTTGAAGTCGTCCAGGGTGACGGTGGTGTTCTGCAGGCCCGGCGGCAGGTAGTTGGACCGCAGCTGGTCCACATCCACGTTCTCGAGGAGCGAGGGGTCCAGGGAACCAGGCAAGTCCACGGACCCACAGACGAGGTGGACCGCCAGGAGCAGCAACAGCGGACAAAGCGACCAGTTCGACATTCTCGCATCGACTGGCTGGAAAGTGCAGAGAGCTGGAACTCGAAGCCGGGGGTTTCTTATCGCTGGGGTGGGGGTACCCAACCCCATTATCTCCGATTCACAGGGGCGACGGAGGGGTCAATGTCTGAGATTACGGCCGCCCACTTCGTGTTTTGGTAATCAGCCGGGGTAAACAGCCGACGAAACAGTACTCCGTATTATACTTTTATATACACACACTAATAGTAGTAAAAAGCCGCTTTGAGAATAATATAATATAATATATATTTTCCAAAGGTATTCCGTTTGACCTTTTTACTTTTAACAATCTCAAAAGTGCTTTAATAACCTTTTTAATTATGTTCATGGTGTTTTATAACGCTGTACAGTGTTATTGCTGAACACACTGACTCAGTGAGCATTTTCTTCAAGTGTGTTTTTGGTTAATTATTTGCTCTTCAATTCTGGTCGAAGTCGGTTTAATAGCGACTATCGCTCTATTAAAGGCGGTGACTACTTAAAACACCTATACACGTATTATATATGCATTTATATACTGATGCTAATCCTACATAACCGCTGGCATTTGAATTTGCAATCTAAATTGGGTCATTGATAATTACTTGAAGCTTAGGGAAATGATGGGAATGTAATCATTGGAAAGCATCGACAATTAGGAAATATTTCGGCTCTTATCAAGGGAGTTATAAACAGACTTTCAGGTGATTATTGGGAGGCACAAGAATCACAAGACTTTTCCAGTTTTCCAGTTTCAACATAAATGTGACTGAGATCGATGGCGTGTAATATAATCACGCTGATAACAATCTGACACTCGTTGGAATGGCGATAAGCCCAATCGCTGTTTTTCGATCCCGACAGATTATGGTCAACTCATGTTGCATAAACCGAATCAGATTAATATATGTAAAATCAACTGGTGGTGGTTTTAGCGTTTTGAGAAAATATTAGGGTCCTGCTTCTGATAATTAAAGCATTCAGTAGCTTGAGCCTTGACTATAACATTTGTTTTAATTTTTCTCAGTAAAACAAGCATTATAAAAAATATTTATAGAGTGTTAATACATCAATCTGCCTTTTAGTAACCATTACACTGATTCGAGTCCCAATAAATATCGTACGTATAAATAAAAATAAAATGGGACTTAAAATATCTGTTTTATACAGAACCCCATCGATTGTTCAAGCCACTACACCGCTACTATGGTGGCCAGAAAAATAGCAACACTTGCAGCACGCCCGGCCAAAAAAACAACGACAGCAGCTGAAAACACGAGAAGCGAGCAAGAAAGTAACAATTTATCTTCGTTTGTTGCGGAAGTTGCAAGTGCAATAAACAACATCGGAAAGGGGGCCGGCCGGCGAAAGGGGCGTGGCGAGCATAGGGTGACTGGCACAGAAAATTTTCGGTTAAAAATAATACCGAAAATTGCAGCTAACGGAGGAAAAGTGGGCAAAAAGCAAAATGGGGGGGGGATTCAGTGCAAATTGAAATGAAGCGCGTGGCAGGGATTCCTAAAAAATGAGCACAATTAATTGTTACCCTCTGCTGTGCTCATGGGCGTGGCAAAGGGCGCCACTTGGGTGGGCGGTACGGGGGCGTGGCAGCATTAGTTGGCTGCAATTAGCTGGCATTTCTGCATTCCAAGGTAAAGTAGTCGCAATGCGAACGGATGTTTCTCAGTTCCTTCGGGATAATTAATGAAACATTATCCTTGGTCTTTTCAAGTGTGCTGCTAATTAAACATTTCGGTCTCCTGGAAATTCAAGCTATCTTAGTTAATCATTTTAGACGATAATAAAGCTGGCCAAGTCGTTTGATTTGTAATAAATGGCTTTAAAAGCAAACTATTCCGAAGGACACTTGTGGCATTTTCCGTTTGGTCGATATGTATGGATGTACAGATGAGAAAACGGGTGAAAAGTGGGTGACAAAGTGGGCGGCAAGCTGCAGCGGATGTTTGGCGACCGCCTAATTGCAGCTGCCAATAAGCGGACGGGGTCAAAGGGCGGGGCGAAGGATCAAGCGGAGGCCATTTGCCAATTGCTTTGCCAACGTTTCCGTTTCCGCTTGCCGTTCGCCCGCTCATGTGTGTGTGTGTATTGCGTTGGCCAATGACATAATTAGCTTGAGGATGCTAATGAAGATATTATATTGCAGTGCGCACAAACTCGATCATATGGGCATTTCCACATTGCCAGAACATTCGTACTCATTAAAGCGAAAAATAGATGTTATGGCGGCTTTGATTTTGATTGAGCCAGTACACGTAACTTAGTAACCTTTCCTGGCTTTTGAAATAGTTTGGGGACCATAAAATATGGGTATGTGTTTAAAGGAGCATTCAAGCTGGTTGCCGGTGAACCCCTTGATGGAAATGCTGAAATGCAAAACATATATTGTTTTACCTAGTGCACAAATGCACCCATGTGTGTGCTCGCCTTAATGCAAATAACTCATTTCATAATCAAGCGAGGCCAGCCCAGCGAATTGAGGCCTCTCTGCGAATCCTTGAACCCCCGCCCTGGTCCCCCTGTCCCGGAAATTAGAGGTCCTGAGTCAGGATATACGCGGTGAGAGTGTGAGCCTTGGGGTGCCCTTTGACCCGGACTACAAGTAATAGGGCTTTAGCAGGGAATAATTACAGGAGCATCTGCCATGATGGGTGGCAATCGAATTCCAAACTATTATCTAGGTCTGTTGGTCAATTAATAAATTCAGCAAGGCTGGCATTACTTGTTTCTTTAACAGCTCAGTAGTTGAGTTTAAACTAGGCAATTTAAAGAATTTGCCTGACACCAAAAACAAACCGTGTTTTGTTGAAACATTTAAATCGGTGAAGTTTCTGACCCAAAACTGTGTGTAGATCCATTAACTTCCAAGTTTCAGACGACTCTCAACACTCTAGCACTATTTTTCGAACTCGTTGTTCAGCTGCCATGGGATACACTAAATCGAGTCCAAACCGCAAATACAAATGAGAGATGCAGCGAATTTTCGGTTTATCGGCAACGAGTCACAACTTCGGGGCCTTGGCAGGGGTTATATTGTATCCAGAGCCCCCTTTTTAGGCCCCCTTCACCACTTTTTGGGAAAGTGCTCCGTAAGAGACAAGCAACAAAACAGTGGCGAAAGAAATGCAATAAATAAAACAAACCGCAAACAAAACTTTTATCAGCCGCAGCATCCGAAAAGGGCAACAAAGTATAATACCATTCGGGCTACAAAGAAGGGGTTTCAGAATGGGCGTTCCTCGGAGTGGGAATCAATGATAGACGAGAGTGCGTGCTATTGAGGGCACTTCATACACCTCCATATACTTAAATTATAAATCGGGAAGGCAATTGAAATTGCCATTTATTTGAATACTTAAATATTTTTGCAACCCTTGATCTATATATCTAGATTGTAGATAGGTATCTTTAGCAAAAGGGAAAGCTTTATAACCTACAGGTATAGGAGATTAGCTGCTTCTCAGTGATGGATAAATCCGTTAACCCTACGCATAAGTCAATAAACAATGTTTAAGAGGGTATTTTTACTCTCTTTGTTGGTTATGCGAATTGGTTGACTGGCGCTTAGATAAAGTCAAATTATTCGTGCTCTGTTTGCCGTGTGTTTGTTTTCCCTTTCTGGTGTTTGTTTGTTGGTCTGCCTTCCCCGAGTTCCTGGGTCTCTGAATGGGCAAAAAAGAAGGAGTTTCCCCTTTCTTTTTTCGCACGCACACTTCACTTCACTTTCCCCGCCCCCAGCCTCTCAAACACTCGAAGATTGACTGACAGTCGTTGTGTTATTCTTGCTGCTGCTGATATCCTGCCACAGGAGTCGAAAAAGGGAATGCGGGGTGGGGTACATGTATCCATTCATACACCCGTCGCGTGTGTCGATGATTTTTCGCCAAACTTTTCACTTTGATTTCGTTTGAATTTCCGCAGGTCCGCACAGCGGGCGCTTTTCTTTTTTCCCCGATGCGGAATTCAATGAATTTGAGGAATACTTCTCAGCGTCTTTGACAAACAAATGGGGCGGTTGGCGGTGGGGCGGAGGAACCCACACACATGTTTGCATTGCAAATCCAAAAACCAAACGACCGCTTTTTCAGCTTTTTTGATACCCCAAAAATTCAGCCTACTTAAGTCCATCAGAACTGTGGATGTTGAACACAGAAATAAGAGTTTAAAATGGAATAGGCCTTTAATGTTGGGAAGTTTTTCGAAATTTCAGAAGATTTTACTAAAATAGCGAAATTCCTCCACCCTATCTACTGTCAAAACTAATTTCGTTCGATATTGAAAGCTAGATCGAACTTAAGTAATCTTCAATAAATGTACCATGAATACTTAGTTAAGTTATTGAATGTATAAATCAATAATGTAAGCAAATTCACTAAATGGGAAACAAATATAACTTTCCATTATTCAATGCGTAGAAGAAGTAAAAATTTTACGATATGTTAATATCCAGTTTATCCTGATATTTGTAAGCCGATTAGGGGGCAACTAGAAGTCGTGAGAGGTGCTTTCCGTTTTTTCACCGCACGCGGTCGCTAAAATTGCACGGTGAATAGAGTGGGAAGGTTGTAGGGGGCGGGAAAGTGGGCGGCAGACTCAAATGTTTGCTCATGTAAATCGAGCAGCCCTCCCGCTCACCCCGCCAGGCATCCATCGCCCCATCCCGCTTCCTCTTGGGAAGTTTATAAAGGTTTGGTTTGGGCGCCTGCCAACATTTCGACTCGATGACGGCAAACATTTACATTTACATTTTGCATTCAGCTTGTTGTCATCGGTCGCCGATTCCGCTACGCGGCTTAGGTAACGGGACTTAAGAGTCCTGCTCCTTGATATCCCTAAAACCCCTTTCCCTCTTTTCCACTTCTCTACGATTTTCCCACTCCAATCTCGGCTTTAAGCTCTTATTCTCCACGTGGTTTCTCGTTTGCCATCATGTATAATTCTTGAAATATGATAAGATTACTCACCTATACTATTGCTGTACCATGTACTATTCCATTCTTCTTCTACTTGTAGTTTTCATGTTCTCCTCATAAAGGCTTCGAAAGATCACCGTTTTGACTGGAAACTTCCAAGGTAGAGCCCCAACTGTACTATCGCCTTATCACAGTTGTATCACTTTCATGGCTATATTTAAAAAAATATCACATTTTGATGTGTATACCGGGAGTGCGGTTGTCACACACTTACACCTTTTTGTTTTTTTCCCAGCTTTTGGAACACGAAAAACGGTACCCATTCATATACACATTCATTCCATCTTAATTACCGCCGTCTTCTGTTTTCTTACACCTGAAATCGTAGGTGGTAAGCTTTCTTTGCAGAGACAACAATAATATTGAGCTTACCCTCTTTTCGACCAGTCGATAAAGCTTGCTCTCTTGATTATTCTTGACATCCCAGCTTAAACTTTGATCATAAAAGCTTATGGAATAGTACAACAAAATTATTAAACGATAAACCAAAACAGTAAATGTAAGAAAACGATATATTAAAAACACCTGTGGAGATTCCAGTTTGAACTCCCATTTAGATTCCGAAATGCAAAACCAGATGCCGCGTTTATTCCGATTCATTAGTTCAAGTCACGCTGCGGCCCAATTATCATTATCACTGCCATAAACAATGACGCGATCATCCCATTGAGTTCCATTGTCTTCCAGTTTCCAGTGTTTGAGTTGTTTTCAATTAGCTGATTCTCGATACCCGATCTACTTTCCGTAACCGCCTTTGTTGCACTTGTCGAGGGGAATGCACCTGCCCCCGGGGTTCCTGGCGAACCCCTTGTTGCAGTAGCATCCATCGGGACACCGAATGTGGTTAATCAGGCAGGGTTTTCCCAGCGTAGCACATTCCGTCTGGCAGCTGGGACCACAGGCCAGGAAGGTCTCGTTTTCCGGGCATTCTCGGGGTGCTGGAGACGTCAACACATATTAAAAGGGGTGGGTTTCCAAATGGTGGGTGCACTTACTTATGAGAACCTGCGCTGTGGCCGTGAGCATCAGGCAGCAGCAGCTGATCAGCACTAGATAATTCTGGGGGAGCCACATCGTCGAAACCTGTGGACCATCCACAGCAAACTAAGCCGATGAGCTCACTTCCACCGGCTTTTATACCCACTACGCAGGCGGGTACATTGTGATTCCGGCCAACTATTTTGATGCCTATCAGGGCATCCGCTAGTCGACTCAGAAAACGAAGACCTTATGGGGGATCCACTACCCAGTAGTATTCCCCGCTTGATTGGGGTAACCACACCGCTTGTTTACAAAAATATGTTGGTGGTTTATTAGATACAACTTGTGAACTACAAAAAACTTTGAAATGTGGAGGTGGATGGGGGGCCGCAGTTTGATTATCAGGGGGAGCTGCTGCGCCTGCGTCGCTTGTGCCGCTTGTGGGTCTTCTTGGTGGGCGTACGGCGCCGTTGCTGCTGGCGTCGCTGTTCCGTATCGCGACTGCCAGAGTAGCTTCGCGATCTGCTCCGTCGGTTGGCCCTTGATATGCTCCTGCTCCGCCGGACGCTCCTGGACCGGCTTCTACTCTTACTCCGCCTCCTCTTTTTGGGGCTCTTCCTTCGCGTGGACTGCTGCTGGTATTTTCTGGCTGGGGTCGACGATGGTTCCTTGGAAAGTTTGCTGCTTCTCTGGCGTCGTCGGTGGGGGGATTCTCGACTGGAAGCGCTGCTGGGACTGCTCCGGCCATTCCGGCTGCGACTTCTGCTCCGGCGGGAGGTTTTGCGCGGACGCGAGCTGGAGGATCGCGAGGTGGTCGTGGCCACCAGCTGGACGTCGTCGTCGTCGGAGAGGAGAACGGCAGGAGGAGGAGGAGCCACGAGGGGACGCACGGGTTTGCTGGTGAAGGTGTTCGTGCTGTCATCGTTCAGCAGATTGTACTTCTCCAGATCGCCGCCGTCCTCATCCTCGTCGTCCTCCTCATCCTCCTGTGTTTCCTTTTCAAGTCTCACCTCAGGCTTCTGATCTCCCACTTCGTCATCGTCGTCGGGTCCAAAGTAGGTAATGGGTATGGATCGCACCGACTCGTTAGACTCGTCGTCACTTTCGGGGGCTGTCGTTTGGGAAGCTCCTGCTGCAGGCTCTGGAGGATTCGGAGCAGCTTCGGGCACAGCGGAGCCCACAGTGGCACCCTCACCTAGTCGAAATTCATGGTATTACTCGCAAGAAGAGTATTATGTACGGTAGACCTACCTTTTATCTGATTTAGAAAGGCCATCGCCTTACGCTTTCGCTCGAGTTGCAGTTGCTTTTCGCGGGAAATCATACCGTTCAGCTTTTCACGTGCAATCTGCGCCAGCTTGTCCTTCACGCGCTCCTCGGCTTCAAGACCATATGGTGCAATTTATTAATATAAAGCTAAAGATCAAGTTTCTATGTCTACTTATATCTTACCTTGTCGCTGCTCTTTCTGCGGCGAAGAGCTTGAGGGGGAAGCCGTGGAGGACCCTCCTGCCTTCTGACCGGCGGTCCTGGCCAACAGTTGCGTCTCCACCTGCTTGATGGCCCTCTGCACACTATCTGGCATGACCGGACGCACTTGCTCCGCCCCGGCAATCGAACTGGTCTCCTCGTCGCTGGCCTCCTGCGGAAGAGTGGGTTGCAATGGACCATGCTCATCCCGTGCGCGAATGGAGAAACTTACAGGAGCTATAGTAAAGGTAAACAATTAATACTGCTCACGGATTAGCTCTTTCTTTAGACCTACCCTTATCCAGATTGTTCCCAGTCACTGCCGCTGCCGCTCCACCAAAACTGAGACCCTTCTTGGACATCAAGGCGGCTGCTACGGCAGCCGCTTTGCGGGTCTTCTCCTCCTTGGAAGCCGCGTCCACATCGCCCGTCACTTTGTACAAATAGTAGGCATAGAACTCGTTTGCCGGCAGCAGGAAACTAAACCGCTCCACGCTCTTCGTGCGCAGGGTCTCCTCGAACTGGCGTCCGTTCTTGATCACGTACGTGGCCGTCTTGTCGATTATGTGCCGCAGACTCTCCTCCGGAACGGGGAACGTCAAAACGGGCTCCGGCTTCTGTCAAAGAAGCAAGATAATGTATGGGGTTTATGGACTACGAGTGAACCTACCCTCTCGGGCTCCTTTTCTGGCTGAGCTGGATCCTCCTCCTCCTCGCTTTCGGAACTGTAGTTTTGGGCCAAGGCCAGAGCACTCGTGTTCTTGAGCAGCTCCACCTGCGGCGGCTCGCGACTGTTCTCATCCTGCTGTTCCTGGACCGTCGCTTCCGCTTCGTGGGTGAACGTGCTCCCGTTGTATTGGAGCAGCACGGGCGTGAATTCCCCTCCCTGACTGTTGTGACCTTCGGATCGGCAGCTGGGGGTGGGGGAGGCCGTACCAGAGTGCTGGGAGTTTCCTGGATTACTTGACTCGTCCTCCAGCAAAACCGCTTGAAGCGGCACGCCCTTGATCTTGCTGATTAGCTGGGTGTAGGCGCAGTTAGCAGAGGGTTTGTACTTTATTGTGGGCACCGTGATGACTTGGTTGGTATTTCTCCTTCCGCCCACGCCGTCCTCGCTGTTTACGTTTGTGGATTGCGACTCCTGGTCAGGATTTTGCTGATCCAATGTAGTTTCCGGAGCAGGCGGGAACTTTGCCGCCTTGATGGCGGCCAAAAGGTGACGGTAATACGGCTGTAGGTAGCCGCCCTGGGTAAGGAAGTCAAACTGCGCGTTGTTCGCCTGCTTCGCCTTGATTAGGATTTCCATCTGGGCGCCCTGGGTGGCGATGAAGCGAGCAGTCTTCTCGATGATGGCGTGCTGCTTCATAGTTTCCGGCTGCAATGGTATTGAATGTCGAAATTAAATGTATGTCACCAAATAGAAGGAATAGGTTTCACAACAGGATCTAGAACTCACCAACTGCATGTCCAATGGAGGTACCAGCATCAGTGTGTATGGTAGGACGAAGGGCAGCTCGCTCTCCTCGGAAGTGGGCGAAAGTTGCGAGGGCGCCGTGGAAGAGCCGCCGAGGGAAGCCGAGGCTGCCGACTGGCCATCGTACTGGAAGCCCACCTGGCTGTAGTTGCCGCCGGAGGTCTCCTGCTGCAGCCGCTTGAGGTCTTCCTCTGCAGGATCCGAGCAATCGGGCCAAAATAAGAGCAGAGAACACATGCAATTTTGCGACTTTAGTACGGGTGGAGTTAAATCCGTAAAACATTCGAATCAGAGCGAGAAACGTATTCGAGTTGATGCGAACGAGAGAGACAGAGAGAAAGAGAGAGGGATGGGGCTAGCTAGATAACGACTTTTGGCTTCACTGGAAACTTTTCCGTGGGTTTCTGGATCTCTGGACTACCCACAGCAACAACAACAACACTAGTCGCTCCAGCTAATTTAACCTGAAAGAAACGATTTAATCTATCAGGTGGTGAGGATAGCGTATTTACCTGCTCCAAGAAAGGACTCTCTCTGGAAATATCGAGGGGGATGTCGGTGGTTTCTTTATCGGTGGTTGGTATTGATTTGATTGGTACTGATTTGATTCAATTTCTTTTCGACATGCGTTTTGGGTTTGATCGTTTTTTGATAATTGCAGTACTTTTAACACAATTAGCAATTTCAGGAGTTCGGGATCAGGGGTGTCGACATCGTTATGATAGATACGTAACTGTTAGCAAATTCACTCCATGCAACATAACATATAGGGAATGAGGGCACAGTTTCCAGTTCCATTTAAATTTAATTTTATAAAGATATTACATTTTGTTTTTGATTTTAATCTGAAACATGTATCTATCAACTGTTAAACAATCCCCAGTTTAGCTGCTATAAAATCATCCCTCGATATGAATCGGATCTTTAAACTCTTCTTTGACCAAACATTAGTTTATCCAAGTCCAAGAGTATTTTTTAAAAAGGATGTAAACGGAAAAGAGTAAACATACATCTACATATATAGAACTATAACTCTGGCTGGCTTAAAGAATCCCAAAACCTCTAGACCAAGTGGATTGATCATATCGACACCCCGACCCATATCGTTGGATCCGGAGGTATTACCAGATCACCATGCCACTCACCTTGTCGCAGTCGCAGCTCCTCCTCGTTGTTGTAGAGGAACAGGTAGCGCTCCTCCTCGCAGAGCTGCTCGGCGCGCTGTTCCTCGGCGCTCAAGTACTCCAATCTGTTGCCATATCCTCCTGGTGGCGCCTCGTGGGGCGCCAGCTCGCAGAGGGCACCTCGCACATCGTATCTGGGGTTCCAATCACAGGTCGCGGAGTTCACGGTCATTAGGGAGCCGAAAGAAAGCAAGCAGAGAAATATAAACAGAGAGGAGAGAGGAGCATTATCAGTGGGCGTGGCAGTTCCAGGGGCGGCGCGAAAAGGGGCGGGCGAAACAAACGGAGGGGCAGCTCCTTTGGAACCTCCCATCCCTACACAATCCCCATTTGCTTCGCACACTCTCGCGCATTCACACAATATTCATAGTCATACGGTATATATAATGCAGTTTCAGATTAGATTAGGTTTTAAGGCTAGAGATCGTTCATATACATACCGCTCCGGTGGCTAAAAAGTTAATCGGTTTACATTTAAAATGGTCAAAGAATTACAGTTTTCAAATTGTATATGGATAGAGATTACAGTTTGAGAAGCACTGAAAAGAGCTGTTATTACAATGGTGTGTGTTGGGTGTGCGGGTGTAATGTGTGTGGAGTGTGTTCGCAGATCGGTCAGAAGTCCTTTATAAGTAGGGTCGAAATACTATTGGCACTGGATTGATTTTCAAAAATAACAATACAATCGAGCTAAACTATATCCAACACCACTCTTACACTTCAAATTGTATACTGTTCCGGTTGTGAATCTTAGTCAATTTAATAGAAATTTGAGATACTATATACTTCTAATCCACAACTCATAGGCAATAGCAAGCAAGGTTTCAAGACCCGCTGCTAGTTATCTGACCGCTGCTGTGTGGATGAATGTGGTCCTACGGGACACGATGGGCATGTGGTGTGTGGTGTGTGGTGTGTTGGGTGTATGTGTATGTGTCGCAGTGGTGTGCGTACTGATTAATCGTATAATTATTGCTCGGGTTAGTCCCAATTATTAACCTGTCTATCTTGAGATTTACATCGCCCATCCAGGGAATTAGCTGCTTGCCGTGGTCCATTTCCCGCGCCTTCTCGTCGTCCCGGAAAATCTTGCAGGCGTAGCCGAAAACGAGCAGTTCCAGCGGCGTTTGTCGGTGGTTTTCCAGGCTCGCGGAGGACCCCGCTCCTCCCGTGCCGTTTCCATTACTGAGCGCCGTGGACCCGGGCCCGGAGCCGGATCCGAGGCCTGTGCGCCGGAGGATTCCGCCAACGCTTCCGCCGCCGGCGTTTCGCACATTGTAGGGCATCATCGCAGCGGATTCACTGGACCAAAAATCCAATCCGTGTGCTCGGTGCTGGTGCTGCACTCCCTCTCTCTCTCTCACTCTTTCTCTCTCTGTCGCGGCTCACTCACTTTTTACGGATATCAAGGTCTAGGCGCGGGCCCAGAGGATTGCATTCTACGGCCGGAGTTCGTCAATTTCTTTCCATTATATTTTTATTTTGAAAAAAATTAGTTTTGCTTGAGGCAGCGTGACCGCACCGATAACGATTAAAAACGCCAAACGGCCTGAAAATAATACCGTTTACTTCCAAAAATACCATTTAAATTCTATTGATTTACAAATTAATTTCTAGATTGTTTTCTATTTAAATAGTTTGTGAGCAATTCTTTGTACTTTTCTTACTCCTTTATTTATATAAGTACAAAACGACGAAATTTATATGCAAACGTTTATGTATAAACTGACTTAAAATACCATAAACAGGGTGGAATTATCAGTTATTCGATAACGAAATCGGACTACCCACTCACGATAGTATTGATATACATCGAATATCTGAGGTTTCCTTTCGATAGGCTCAAAGGCGGATAAATGTTCAATTTTTTTACAAAAATGTAACATACAAAAATACAAAACATTAAAGCACCCAGAGTTTCGAAAAAAACTAATTACTTAGAAAAAAAAAATTTTATTTTTAAAAATTCCCACTGCAGCGAATGACTAAGAATAAATATGTTCCGCTAATTACTTTTCTTTGGCACTTCACATGAAAAGACGTTCTTTGAGACTTAGGGTTCCTTTTAATTATATTTATTCCAGAAACTCATTTGGCATTAGTTTAATAGCTTGAGTTCCTTAAGAGTAGCGGTGTCGCTCCTTGGGTCTAGTCCTTGGCATTAGGGAACTTCAGGGTTCGCAGTTTGGAGTAAATAATGTCCCAGTCGACGTAGGCGCCCACCAAGTGACGCTTGTTACCTGGCGCATCCTCGTAGGCCGTTCTTCCGTGCAACATGCGCAGATTGTTGAACACGAAGACATCGCCGGCTTGTGTCTTGAATTCCACAGCCTCGGATTGGGCGGTCTCCAGGAATTTGTCATAGGCCTTGTACCAGGACACGGCCTGCTCCAAAGAAACGGAGAAGCGGCTGTCGCGCTTGGTGGTGTTCTGATTGATTCTCGTGATCCTGCCATCCACATCCAGACAAATCACCGGCGCTCTCCACAGGCTGTGAAAGGGCTTGGCATCATCGCCATCGTGTCCAATGTCAAACCAGTTCACTGGCACCGATCTGAGTACCTCGAAATGCTCAGGATGCAGTTTCTGCAACTGAGAGGCCACGTTGAAGCCATCCGTGAGGGTATTCGCTCCACCACTTGACTCCGATTGGACGAGAGTGTGCAGGATGTTGATGCCCGCCTTGTACTCGTAGTACGGCATGTCAGTGTGAAGCGGCAGGGGAGTCATTAAATAGGCGTAGTTCCCCGCATTTGGTTTGGTTTTAACCTCGAAAACATCACTATGGGATAAGGAATGCAAGATACATTAATCAACCGAAAGTGCAGCACCTCGGACCACTTATACACCAACTGTGTACTAAAGCAAGCACTATCTATAAATCTTTATCAAGAGCACAAAAAGAGCAAGCTAATGTGGACACCTGACCAGACACCAAGACAAATAAAAATTGCCTGATTCTGGCTGTAATAATCAACCAATTGTGATTATATTATTAGCTAAATTGGTAGATAATGACCAAGAGGTCTCGGCAAATTTTAGTTATATGGCCTTGAAACTTAGGTTGATGTCTGTATACAATAGCTGAGTAATTACCCGTAAGTGGTGCGCTTTATGTAGCCAATCCTTTTGGCCAAATGCTTGGCCACATTTATGTCGTCGGGAGCTCCTTTCAGGATGGCGAATCCCTGGACTGCCAGTGCCTCCAGCCAATCCCTAAGTACTGCATCCTGGTGGATAACGTCCTGGTATTGGAACTCCCTTCTCACAGCCTCGAATTCAGACTTTCCCCAGAGTTGTGCGCTTGGTTTGTATACCTCTTCCAAGTAACGCTTTCTGGCAGCCTCCCCAAAGTCCCTTTCTCTTAGCCAGCTTATATCGAAGGCGCTCTTGTGCTTATCCTGCCAGAGGACTTCCAACTGCTTCTTCTCCTGGTTGTAGGCCACTTGGGACACTTGGACATTCAGCGGCCCACGCTCCCAGTGGCTTTTCCTGGCCCTCGTGGCGGTGTGGAAGCACTCGGCACACTGGCAGTTGTCTCTTAGCCAAACCTGCGGGTACCTCAGGAGATCGCCTTGCTCTTCCTGGACTTCCACATAGCCCGCGGCCTGCACACGAGCTAGTGTACTCGCATTCCGGAAAAGCAACCGGGAAATTTGTTGTCTACAGCTCAGCATTCCGGGCTCAACTGCCGAGCAATCAGGCGATGAAACAAGAGGCGAACTGGCTGATAAACAAAGCTTCAGCTTATCGCTGACCGTTTTCTCCAGGGAGAGACACGACTTGCACCACGGATTGCGACTGCTCCAGCCAGCAATCTCTTTGATTGTCCGCCGGAAAGCTTCGCTGGCTGTGGCACAGTGAGCACTTTAAATACAGAGAGATTGGTTCGGTTTCATTGTGGATTTCTGGCTGAGGCTCCCGGTTGTTCCCGGTATCTCCGTTTTCACTTCTCCTCTTGGGCTTCTTGCGCTGCCTTCGATGGCGCTTCTTCTTGGTCTTGGCTCCCCCGTTTGAAGGAGCCTCCTTCTGCGGAAAAGGAGTCACGGCTACTTCCTTGGGTTCTTCGGCCACCTGCAGCTCCGTGTTCACCCCGGGCAGCAGGGGCAGGGAACAGCGCTTGCAGAGGGAGCGCTTCAAGGCAGGAGCCCTGCAAACCAGATGGAAACTAGGATTAGGCTCTGGCCAGCGCCTGGAGAAGCCACTTACATGTGCATCACGGCTTTGGTGCCCACGTTCCGGCAAAGCTTCCCGTAGTAGGCGGCTAGCTTGGTCCGATGGCCTTCCGCCATTAAATTGGACGCCTGGAAGAGGAAGTTCATTCGCGAGGAGACGTGGCGCTGGGCCAGCAGCTTCTTCTTGTTGTCCTTACTCATGATTCCGCGAGTATTTCACACAAACTTTTCAAATTTCATACAGTTCTGTGCTTGCTTGCAAATAAAGTGTGTTCTCCTCTCTTCCTCTTCGATTGCAGGAGGCGGTATTAATCAAAACAACAACAAGAGAATTAAGGTGGTGGCACGCGATTTACCGATGGCAGAAAAACAATCGATGGCACCAGCAGCACAGCCACCCATCGATAGTGCCGGTCTATCGTCGATGGTTTTATAGCTCCAGCCAGCTGTTTCCCGCGTTTTTGATTCGCGAACTGCAGTTGGCGAAAGTGCAGCGGGAAAGGCGGAAAATAGCACAGACCGCAGGGAAACCCACAAAATGCAACGCACTCCGGTCACTTAGAAGCCACACTCCGCGCACAGCAAACCCGAGAGACCGTTTCAAGCTCCGAAGCCGAGCACTCCGCTAGGGATCGTCTCCTGGACTCGCAGCCATGTTTGTCCAGGATCTGCGCAACGACTTCTACCGCCAGCTGGTGGGCAAGCGTATCCTGATCGTGGTCAACTACGACATCGATGCCATCTGCGCCAGCCGCATCCTGCAGGCCCTGTTCAAGTACGACCACATGCTCTACACGGTGGTGCCCATAATGGGAGTTACGGGTCTGAAGAGGGCCTACGGGGAGCACCAGGGCGACGTGAAGTTCGTGGTGCTGGTCAACTGCGGCGGCTGCGTGGACATCGTGGAGCTCCTGCAGCCGGCCGAGGACGTGACCTTCTTCATCTGCGACTCGCATCGCCCCTTGGATGTCTGCAACATCTACAGCGATCGGCAGGTGTGCATCCTGGGGGATGCCTCCTTGGAGGAGAACATCCCAGCTTTCGAGACCATTTTCTACGACTCTGAGGGGGAGGAGGACGACGAGGAGGGCGAGTCCTCCGACCAGGAGCAACAGAACAACGACAGTGGCGCCGGGGAATCGGATCAGGAGGATCAGGCTCCGAGGGGCCACAAGCTCAGCCGCCTGGAGCGGCACGAGCAGCGCATCCTGAAGCAGCGAGCCCGCCGACAATGGGAGTCTGAGCGCGACAGGATCATGTTCGAGTATACACAGTTTAGCTACTATGGCAGGTCCGCCGCTCTGCTGGTTTTCGAGCTGGCCTGGAAGCTCTCGAAGGACAACATGGACCTCCTCTGGTGGGCCATCGTGGGCATCACCGAGCAGCTGCTGCTGGGCAAGATCGAGAGCGGATCGTACACCCTGGAACTGGAGCAGATTCAGTCGCATGTGTCGCGGCTGACGAACAAAACAAATGACCAGAACACGATGAGTGCCTCCAAGATTTGCTTCGAGAATGATTTGCATCTGGTTTTGTACCGACACTGGCCCGTCACGGAGTCCATGAGGTGAGCATAGTCTTGTCCCTTGATTATGACCCTATAACCAAGTGAATCCCTGCCAGGTATTCCCGCTACGCCTCATGCCAACTGAAACTATGGACCCTGCGCGGCGAGAAGAGACTGCACGAACTCCTACTCGAGATGGGATTGCCCTTGGTGCACGCCCGCCAAACGTACGGAGCCATGGACCTGGTGCTGCGCAAGGAGTTCTACTCGATGGTGGAGCGGCTGGCAGAGAAGTACGACATACCGGACATTGTTTACGGAACCTTCACACTCAGCTACGGCTACCGCAGCAGATATGCCGCGGCGGACTACGTGTACGCCCTGCTCGCCATCATGGAGTCGGTGAAGAAGCACAAGACGCCGGAGGATTGCTTTCTCGAGGCCTCCGACGCCTTGAGTCGTCAGCACAAGCACCTCTTGTCCGCGGGAATCGACCAGGCGAAACTCCTGCACGCCGCTGTTTTTAGACAGGTGCAGAGCAGCCTGGAGGCACGCCAAGTGCACTCGGCTGGCTCCTTCTTCTACTACGTTCTGCAGGAGGAGCACGCCTTCTTTTCGTACCCGTATGCCCTGGGGCTGCTGGCGCGATTCCTTTTGCGCGGTCATGTGGCAACGAGTAGAGCTAGGCAGGCTCCGGACTTGCCGCTGATCGCCAGCTGTCCTTTGGACGCCGCGCAGGGCATGTGCTTGCTGGTCGGGATCGCCCCGGTTAGGGAGGATTCGCCGCGGAATTTCTTCGGCAAGGCCTTCGAGCAGGCGGCACAAAAGAGCGGGGTTGCCCTGCTGCAGGATTTCTTTGAGCCTGCGGTGGTGCAGCTCCGGCAAAGCGACCTCACCCGCTTTCTGGACGCTCTCACCGTGCTTCTCACATGATCCACACACACTTCAACCTGCTACCCACATCCCTGCTCAACCATGTTTAAGTAATAAGCTAGCTTTTAAGACGAGAGACCTAATCTGTACACCTAAGCTAAGATTTTAAGCGAACCCTATTTATGTGCGATTATATTGTGTTATTGACTTCGGAATTGCGCCCAGGACCACAAAAGTACATTTAGTTTAAGGAATGCCCTTTTTTCAAAAAAATAATTGTAAATCTGACCTAGAATAAATTGCGTATATGTTTAAAGTGTTTACCATGGAATAGAAAGAGTATATTTGGATTTGGATGGATCGAACGTATATAATTTTACTTTTGTTTAGGATGTTTTATGTACAATAAGGCTGATTTGGTTTCATAATTATGTACTTCATTTCCTGCCAAATAAGCATAGTTCCCAGCGGAATCATCAGCTAACTAGATTTCCAACCTGGTTCTGCTGTGCCTCTATGTTTTTCTTAAGCGGATCAGCGCTCAGAATGCGGGCTGAACCCAAGCATGCGGTGTCGTCATAGAACACAGCAAATTGTCCAGGCGTAATAGCTCTCAGGGGAGCGTCCAGCAGGACTTGGAAGTGGTTTTTTGGAGAGATCCTCAGTTGGCAGCCCACCAGGGGTTTGGTGTGCTGGAATCGGAAACGACACCGCAAGTTGCCCTTGTCAGTAAGCCTTCGTTGGGACGTGGAACACAGCCAGTTGGGTGGATCGATGTTTATGTGAGTGCTTAGGAGGGCGGGGTGGTCGTGGCCAGCCGCCACATAGATGGTATTGCTGGTGGGCTCTTTTCCGGCCACGAAGTAGGGCTGCAGGAAGGAACTCAGACGGCAACGTTGGCCCACCGTCCACTGATGGATGCCGTCGTGGTGGCCAACCACAGCTCCACTATCGATGTCTAGAAAGGGTCCTTTTTTTGAAGTGATGTACTGCAAAAGGAGGGGAAGCCACATGAATCTCAAGATACAAAGATCCGTACTTTTGGATTACCTCCTTTATAAAGTCCTTAAAGTTGCGCTTGCCAACGAAACAGATGCCCGTGCTCTCTCTTTTGTTGGCCAGTCGTTGGAGCCCGATCTTGGTGGCCAATTGCTTAACCTGGCTTTTGTGCAAATCTCCCAAGGGAAACATGGTGCGCTGCAGAGCCCTTTGGGGGATCCCGGCCAGGAAAAATGTCTGGTCCTTGAAGGTATCGGCGGGTATTAGCAAACGGGCTTCCTTTTGGCTCGCAATCCCCTCCAGAAAGTTGCCAAGGCTGTTGCGGGCATAGTGCCCTGTGGCCACGGCGTCGTAGCCGAGGTTCTCCAGGACGTGCTTGTGGAAGAGGTCGAACTTGATGTGGCGATTGCACAGGATGTCCGGATTGGGGGTCAATCCTTGTTGGTAATCATCCAGGAACTGGCTGAACACCGCCGTCCAGTACTCGCGCACGTAGTTCACCTGGCGCAGCTCCACGCCCAGGAGCCGGCAAGCCCACTCCGCGTCCTTGAGATCTGCCTCCCCGCTACAGCGACCCGCTTCGTCCAGTTCATCCCAGTTCCGCATGAAGACGCCCAGGACGTTGAATCCTCGTTCTGCCAACAGGTGGGCGCTGACGGCGCTGTCCACGCCCCCCGACACGCCCACCACTACTTTGCGGATCATTCAGTCTAGCTTTAATTTATTTTCATTTAAGTTTAAATTTATATCACGTTGGGCCATACAGCTGTTTCCTCCGCAGAAACAGCTGATTTGAGCGTTGAGCTTTTAAGCTTTTGTCTCTCTTTCTTACTTGACATTTCAAAGTTACATTAACACAATTTGTTACACTTTTGACGTGAAATATGCATGATAAACTTAACATAACTTTTGTTAAAAGTAGAAATTGCAATAACCAAATAGTTTAAAATGTATGTTCTTAAGTTCATTCCAATAGGAATAAAAACTAGATTAGGTTTTTGAAATTAGTTAAAGTACCATTAAAGTACCATTAAGTGCCATTAAAATATGTAATATGTTTAATGGAATTTCAAAGAACTCATTGTAATAACTTAAAAATCAAATTAGCCCATCAAATTTGAATGTTCCCACAAAAGAGCTTTTGATAA